AAGTCTTTCACAGCACCTTAGACCCCGTAGCTGTGCTTTCGTCCCATCCTTTCGTCTCGCTTCATTTTGGCTTGTTGTCTGGTGGGGTTGAACCCCCCCCACCCTCTGGCTTGCAGCAGAGAGGCGTTGGGGGGCCGGGGCGCCCAGCCCCGTGGAGCCGGCGCGGTCGGAGGCATATGGAGAAGAGGCGTGTGTTTTGGGGAGGGGGGAGGCAGTGTTTCACCCCGCAGCGCCCTCCACATTTCACTCCCGCCCTCTGGTACCTGGAAGCGTTATGGCCTTAGAAAACCCCTCCGGCATGGCACGGCTGGGGTGCACAGGGGGAAGGAAGGAGGGCTCAGGGGAGAGAGGATGGGGAGGGAGAGGAGCTGAACGAGCCTGAAATGACTTCTTTGTGCCTCTGGAAAACAGCTACGGAGTGATACAATTAAGCACATAGAAGTAGGTCCATGTCTTCTAGCCAGGGCACCCCAAGGAGACGCAGCTCCAGGAGAGATCCGTGTTAGAGCAGCACTGTTGTCCGTGCTTTTATGCAGTGTATCCATTCGCTTTGTTGATTATTGTTTTCTTTTCTTCTTTTCCTTTCTCTTCTGTTTCTTTCCCCCTTTCTTCTCCAGCCTCGTTTTGTTTGTGTTTCAGTTTGGTTTCTTTCCCTCCTTTTCCTTTGGAGTTGTTGACGTGCTGATGTGTTGCGGAGCTCGGCTCCTTGCGGGTGTTGATAACTGCTTTGTTTTTGATTAATCTCAGCTATCTGGGCAGTGTTGTCGAGACAAGCTTCTCCTCAGCTCAATAGGTAAGGGTGATCCATGTCCGAAAGGATGGTGTGGGCGCTGTGGAGGGTGGCCGGGAGCGGGGCATGAGAGGGGACACGGAAGGGGCTTTTCCAATACCATCTCTTCCTTTAAAGGGGAATAAGGAATCCTAAAACACTAGGAAACACCTCTGGACGCACAGTCTCTGTGGCTTTTGGGTTTCCCCTTCCAGCAGCACGCCGCTGCTCCCCTGCTTTTGGGGTGGCGGCGGGGCTGGAGAGCCCGGTGGTGGCAGCTGTGTCTTCATGTTGGGGTTTGGGATGAGCCAAGCTGCTGTCTCCCCATGGCCGCCCTTCCTTCCTTGGAGGACGGTGACACGTGGCACCCTTGGCCCTGGCAGGGCTTACGCGGCGCGAGGGTTGTGTGGTCTTAGGAAGGTGCGTGTTGAGGTGGGGTTGTCCCAGCCGATCCAAACCAGGAGGAGCTCATGGCCACCTCCTGGAGGCTGTTAAAACAGCCACCTCTGGAGCAACCAGCTGCAGATAGCGCTCTTGGAGCAGGGCTCCAAAAATCAGTCTCCAGTTCCAGTCCAGGACGTGGAGAAATTTGTTCCCGTCAGTACCTGGATCTGTTTTCGTCTTCTCAATCATGGAAAATGGGAAAAGTCTTTCTTTCAAGATGGACTGTATGGTTGGCAGCAGTGTAATTATAGTTTCAGAGTACCGGTGAGGTGTTTTATCGTTCCCATCACAAGTGTAGTCATAGTAAAAGCCCTCCCTCTTTGAAATACTCCTTGGAGAAATCTTTAAGACTTTTTCTGACCCAGCTGTAATTAAACAGCCCTAAGCAGATCTTGAAAGACTCTCCCAAGAAAAATACCTCTCAGGCTGCCTTCATGGGGCCAGTGTCCTATATGGCCATGGGCATTACTGGAACTGGGACGGAGGTGTTGGGTGCAGCCTGGAACTGGGACGGAGTATTTGGGAGGTGGTTTTCAGACCTTACGAGCAGAGAATGTCACTAAAACTGCTAAAGCCAGGTGGGATAATAGTCATTCCTGACCCCAAGGAGTGGGAATGCTGACCCATTTGGCTGTCAGCCAGGCTGGTTATGTGGGGAGAGGTGGGATTGCAGATGGGACCGTTTCCTAGGGCCTGGCCATGTCCAAGCTTCCTTAGGACAGGTCTTACAGAAATTTAAGCTTTGCTGCCTTGGATAGGAAGAGTCAAGGTCCTGGCAGATGCTTTCCTAACAGCCTGAGGAGCCTTGTTGGACTGGAAAAAGCCTCACGAGAGAGAAATGACATGCCTAGAGAAATCAGGTAGTTGTTTCCAGAAGAGGGGAATTCCTCCAGCTGATGTGGAGGGTTCTCCTCGGGTGGGAGGAGAGGGGAGGAAGGAGTGTCGGGTCTTGGTGATGGGAGCAGGTGCGGGATGGAGGAGCCATCCTCTTGGCATGGCAAAACCCCCTCTGATTGGAGCCCTGCAGCCTCCAAAGCTCTTAGGGCTTGGCCACCTTCTTCTGTTTTCCCCTGCTGATCCCAGAGCAGGGTGTCCCATGAGGAGCAAAGCTAGCACCAAGCCTTGGTGAGATCTGGACTGTGCCAGACTTCTTGAGAAATGGGGAAGCCCTCAGTGAGGACATGGCTGTTTTCTCTATTCTTTTTCCATGGTGCTTCCCTGCTCCGGGAGCATTAGGGACATGAGTGAACATGGCTTTAGTGCAGCAGAGGTGAGTCCAGGCTCATGTCTGAGTTCAGTGTGGCTCTTGCACAGATCCTGGCTGGCTCCTGTCTCCAGTGCTGGGTGCTGCAGGCTGATGGGGTTTCAGGAACAGGGTCACATTGTCCAGCAGGACCTTTGCTGAGGAGCAGCCGTGCATCCTACTCAGAGACGCTGCCGGGGGGTTGGAGTCGCAGGAGCGACTCCAGAGTCATTATGCCCAAAAAGGGGAAGCCAGAAGAATAAATCTCACTTTAATAAGCGAGGAATCCTGTAAAGAGCCCAGCCAAGTAATTTCTTGATGATTTGGGGTCATAAAATTGTCAGTGCATGCGGAGCACAGGGATTTTATACCAGACCAGCCAGACTTCTGTACTGCAGTAATAAAGCTGAGAGGAGGAGAGGGAGAGGCAGTTTGTGGGCTCGGTGGCGGCTGCAGCTGAGCCCCCGGAGCTGGGAGCAGGTGTGGCGTGGCTGTTGCACAGTGGCTTTCACTTGGTGAAGGTTGGGTGGTTTTTACTGATGGGCAGGGATAAATAATGCTGTTACTGAGTCGGCACGAGCAGTTTTCCCATCTTCTTCTCTTTGGATGCAGAGCACGGTGATGCATCTCCTAACGGGGAAGAGGGGGCTGTCGTCTCCCCGCAGAGGGAAACCCAAAAACCACAGACAAGGCACCAAGCCCCCGTGCCCCTCGGCACCGCAGCCTGCCCTAGGCAGGCGTCCCGGCCCCCTCTTGCCGGGACAGCGCTGCTGACACCGGGGGCTTGGCCGCGGCATAGCGTTGAGTGACGAAGGGACGTCAGCGCCAGGCGTGCGGGAGGAGCACCCCTCGCTCCCCGCTTGAAAGAAAACAGGTTCCCCTTTAAAGACTGTCCATGTGCTGATCCTCTGCATGTGTTTCATGCCTCCTCCCGCTTGGAGAAGTTGTGAGTCTGCTTGTCTGAGTGCGTTTTTCTTTTCTTTCTTAATTATTATGATTTTTTTCTTTTCAGTCTCTTTAATTTACTTATATATTTTCTCACTCCTGTTTTTCATTTATCTTACTCTCTCCCCCCCTTCCCCGTGACTGTATCCCCCTCTTCCTCTCCAGTCCGGCCCCTTTTCCCTCGCCCTCTCTCCTCTCTGCTCCTCTCTCGTCAGCATGGTGAAGTCCGTTCTGTAGATGAGTTGTGGTGTCTGCAGACCTGTAGAAGGGACCCCCTTCTCCGGTGTGCTCCCCGCTGTGACCAGCCCCTTCCTCCCTCATTGCGGTGCCCTGGCAGCAGCAACAGCTCTGGGACAAGGGGCCGTCACCGCCGTGTTTCTCTAGCATCTCTCGTGCTGAAGGATCTCAAACGATGCATGATGGCATCCCGGGATGGAGGCAGCAGCCAGCACTGCCTCAGAGCAGAGGGAGAATTCTGACTTGCAGGACATCTCATGGGATCGTGCAGGACTTGAGCTTGAAACGGAGCCTCGTGTAGGCGAATTGAGCTCTCCATCTGAGTAGGATGAAGTGTTGAAGGACACGGTGGCCAAGACACAGTGGGCTCTGGTCCAAGTGGATGCTGTATCATGTCCAAACTGTTCCTGCATGTCACTGTCTTGACTTAAGGAGAGAAAGAGACAGGGAACGTGTGCTGTGAGACCTCCATGAGGTGAAATACATGTATTGTGCCCTTGAATCTCCTGGTCCTTTCCTTTACATGGGTTCCTCCTTTATGGTGGAAAAAGGTTAGAGATGCTTTCAATGGGCCTTCACCCTTACATCTTCGCTTCATATGTGGAAAGACATTTGAAGAAGAGCAGCCGAGATGTGTGTTGGGTTGGATAGCTCTTCTCCCCTGGCTACCTCTTCCTGTCCTGGGGCTCTCTGAGGTCCCTCGGTATGTTTGTGGCCTCTCCAGTACCTCTCTGTCTGTGCAGTTCAGACCCTTGCTCATTCAAAAGGGTTGACCTTTGAAGACTCGAGGAAAACTGCTGTGCCAGGTGTTTGTGGCATCTTGCAAAAGGCTTGTGTCAGGAATTCACGTGTGCTTATTGAAGCTCCTTTGCTTGGCTCTACACTGAAGTCCTTAAAAGAAGTTCGCCCGCCTCCCTAAACCCCTTGTCTGTTGGTGTTCAAGATAGCTCTCCTGCATGGGCAGCTGCCCAAAACACTAACTCTGGGGGCAGGAAGAGGCTTTTGGCTGAGCTTAAAATGAAAATTAATTTGAAAGATTCAGAGTCCTTTTGAAGAAATAAAGGGTGGGTAGAGCAGATAAAATTTGGCTGGTGAGTAGCATTGTTTCATCCTCCGCTGGATCTCTTCCTTGCCAGAGGTCAGACAGTATTTATGGTGACACATGGGTTCAGCGTGCTCGCTGTTTATATTTGTGTGTATAAATACAAGTCCAATTACGGAGAACTAGTGGAAATGAGCTTCAGGCAATTTCCTCATAATCCCTCGCGTAAATCTGTCTAATTTTGTCAACATGACACAGTAGCATCTTCTTAGAAGGAAAAAAGAATGGAAAGAGCAAGAGCCTTTTACAAGTTGAGCTTTACTAATATTAGCAAAGTTGTCTGGGTGGTGGGAAAGGCAGTGGAAGACAGATGGGCAGAATGGTGACAGGATCGCTGAGCTTGCAGGCATCCAGGGCTTGGCACACGTGAGCTCCCTGAGGGATGGACTGGGATTGGCGTAGTCAAGGTTGCAATTAGCCAAGTACCTATGTGACTGTAACTATTGTGCAAATATTTGTGTTTGGTGGATGTAAGATGGAAAAAGCCTACTATTGACCATTCAGGCAGGAATTACTGCAGGGAAGTCCCATGCTGTTGGCCCTTTGGGTCACTGTGGTCTTACTCTGACCCAGTGTGTGCATGGGGTGCAGCCCGTCGGCTGTCGGCATTGGTGCAGCTCAGCGGGTAGTGCCCCAACAGAGCTCGGAGCTGCTGCTTGCTGCCTCTCTCACGAGAGGCTGGTTGCACTTGGGAAGAAGGTGTTTAAGCACAGCAACTGTACAGGCTTGTAAACATCGTCTTTCCTACGAGGGAAGGCTCTCGCTTGGATCCAGCCAGCAGGACTACCAGCTTGTCTAATGAGGTGCTTCGTCTTCAGCTGACGTGCTGCTCTGCTGGGAGCTGGAATAGAGGCTCTCCAGGAGCATCCACGCCTTGATGTCTCTGTTGTGATGGGAAACATGAAAAGGGACTTTTCTGTACCCCACTCCTTGAGTTTCCACTGCATCTGCTGTGCTCCAGCTGCTTCATCAATTCACACTGCACTTTTCTTGGCGCTCTCCAATGCTGCTAGCAGAACTGAGCAGCTCTGCAGTCACGCACATCTTCAAAAACAACATCTTCTGCTCCCCCACAGGGAAAAAAATCCTTTGGGAGCTCTTTGCCTGTGTCACTCCAGCTGAAGTATCACGGCTCCAGCAGCTGCTCGGGATCTCAGACGTGAAGTGTTGCTATCACACCGTGATCTCTGCAGCGGTGGCACGCGTGGGGACTCACAGAGGAAAGCCTGCGGGGTGTCTTCGGTGTCGGAGAGGCTCCACCTGAAACCTGAGGGAGATGGGAAGCTCCAAACTCACCATAGGTGGATGTGCTCTTGTACCGCAGCCTGGGTGCATTGGGGCTCTGGGCTTGAGCCTATGTGCTTGCCCATTCCCTGTGGCTTCTGCCAGCACCGACAGTGTTTTTGCAACACTGGATGGGTCTCACTTACTGACAGACCAGGAGCAAGGTGGATGAGTTCAGCCACATCTTTTTGGCGACAAAGCAGGAGTCTGAATGCACTGATGCTGTGTCCTTGCAGCCAGTCAAGGTGGCTCTTCCACCTGCCCATCCATGCTTCCTTGTGAAGAGCCTGTGGCTTGTGGGGTTTGCTGAACCCTGCCCCGGTCACAGTCACCTGAAGATGCAGGAGTTGACCTCAGCGCTGTCTTCCGTGTGGCTGTTATGAAAAGGTTTCTTCGCTGACCTCCGGTGACTGAGTTGTGAGAGCAGAAGAATGTCATCTCCTCCTTTGAAGGGTAGGACAGGCTTGTTAGAGGCACGCTGGTTTAAATCTCCAGGCTTTTTTCTCCAGAGCCCGGCTTCAAGCATTGGCTTTATCGCAATGAAAGGCGCTTTGTGGATGCTTCCCCTGTCATCTCTGGGCACCTTGTGTGCAGGTTGCTATGTGATGACTCGGGTTGATCCCAGGTCGTTACGGGTGGCCTCTGTTGCCTTGACTCAGACTTCTTCTGCGGCGTTAGGTGTTGGTGCAACTTGGAGGGACGTGAAAGTAAAATGGAGAGGGGGAATAAAATGAGAAAGCAACAAGAGGGGGGGATGCTGTGATGTGTTATAGATGAGAGCTAGACCGATGCTCTCCTAAGGAAAAGGTTTTCCTCTACCCCTCTGCTCTCCACAGCAGTCATGCTGTCCAGTCCTTGGACAGGAAAAACAGGTACAGTAAAGAAACTAGAGAAAAAAAAGCCTTTGCAAAGGGGAGACTGCTTAACCTTGAGCTGGTTCCTGTAGAAGAGTTACTCGGGGACTAAAGCTGGAAAACTGCCACAACTTCTGGCTCTCCTGCGGTAAACACCCCTTTGCAAATCCCCTCCTTGTCCCTCGCAATAAAACCTCGTCAGTGTTTCCATTTCAACATCCTGTCCCGCAGGGGAAGAAAACCCAGCTCCCAGCCTCTCGGTGTTAAGGAGTAGATGCTCCTGTGCTGTTGCGTTTCTGTTGTGGCTTATAGCAGGGACCCGGGAACGAGGTACCGCTCCCGGCTGTGTCGGCGTGTGCCCTTCGTGTCCCTGTCTGTCGTGTGGCCCCTGGTTTTTTGGCTGTGGGAGCAGGGCCGGGCAGGATCCTGCTTCCCTGCTGTTTGTGGCACTGGTGTCGTCTGCCCCGGGTGGCTCGTGGTGCCCGTCTCGGTGCTGCTGTGCCGCTTCTGCCTGTCTCTTCCTCTCTCTCCATCCCAAGGGGTTTCCCGCCACTTCCCAAAAATGCCTTATCGGACATAGGATCTGCCCCGTCCTTTTTTGTTGAGCAGTGCTGGCATGGCAGGCAGGTGAGCTGGGGTGCTGGCAGCTCCCTTGCGGGGCCGGTGTTGGACGTTGCCGGTGGGACTGGCCAGGCTCGCAGCACCGCTCGGCAAGGCAGAGGAGACTTAGGGGGACGGCGGGGACTCAGTGGAGCGGCACTCACAGGCGCCTCGCTTCCTCCCGCCCTGCGCTCCGGCACGCCTGGCTGGCCCTGCTCCCTCAGCCCCGGGTTTCTCACCTTTTCCTTTTCCATGGCAGAGCTGGCTGGGGTCGACCGATCCCCCACCGGGGACATCCGGAGGCCCGAGCGTGGCTGAGAGTCGCTGACAGTGCCTGTCTGTTTTTCCTTCCTAGAAAACGTCCATCTCCGTCCGGGGATGCTGCTGCACCTGAGAGGCTCGAAGCTCTGAAATACCAGCGGATAAAGAAGCCCAAAAAGTCATCCAAGGGCTCTTCGAAATCCAGAAAACAATCCAGTGAGTGTGAGGACCTCGCGGTCCCCAACAGCATTCCCCTCTGTGCCCCCGTGGGCAGAGCTCGGGCAGGTCCCTGTGGGCTCCAGCACTGGGGGTCTCTGAGCCCATGCCCCCCAAAGGGGTGGTTCCTCGGGCTGCTGTCCCTCCCCTGCTCCTCCCCTGCCTCCAAACCAAGTTCCCCTTCCATGCGTCTCCCATCTTTAGTGATTTCTTTTGGATTTTTTTGAGTGTTAATTATTTGTCCTGATGCTCCCTCCTCGCCCAGCAGCCAGGTTTGGGGCCAGGCTTGCCGTAACCTCCCTCTTACGGCACGCAAAGCTGGCTGCCGGTGCTGCTAATAGCTGCCGGCTCTGGTTCCATCTGCCTTCTCTCCCTTCCCCAGACGGCTCTGCCTCCCAGGTTCAGCACCTTCCCAGCTCTCAGGTACTGTGGCCTGACGAAGCTGTCTGCCTCCGCAAGAAGAAGAGACACCCTCGTCAGGACCCCTTCGCCCGCCTCTCGGCGCTGAAGGACGACCTCTGCCACCGGCAGCTCCCCGAAGACCAGACAGCCATTCTCAACAGCGTGGACCACGATGACACCGGCGGGCACGCCACGTTGCTTTAGCCTAGCACCGGCCCGAGAAGGTTAAACAGGAGGGGGTGGAGGGAGCCAACATCGCGCCGTGGGGGGACGGAGGCAGTGGGAGAGGAGGGGGGATGCCCCTAGGCTGCTGCCTCTGCCGGGGGGTTCGGCAGCTC